TCTATCTATCTATCTATCTATCTATCTATCTATCTATCTATCTATCTATCTATCTATCTATCTATCTATCTGTCTATCTGTCTATCTGTCTATCTGTCTGTCTGTCTGTCTGTCTGTCTGATGTATATGAATGTTTCTGTTCAGTGCCCTGAGATGACTTCTGTTGTGACTTGGCACTGTATAAATAAACTGAATTGAATTATTTGTACTCAGTATTGACCCAAACTGAAGTACTTGTACTTGATCTGGGGAAAAAAAAAAAAAAGAGTATCAGGACACCTCTAATATTTACCCTCAATATCAACGTGCACAATTTCAGTCACACATTCCTGCTCTGTAATATCCCTGATAGCTCACTGAACATCAAACCCAAACAGAACTGAAGAGTCATAAATACCTGCAGTGAGAATCTGACTGCTTGAACAGATGGCTGGAACATCTTGGACACGGGAAGTCTGTGAGATAAACTGTCCCAAACAGGTTTCAGAACTGTCTGAACAGATTCTGTCCTGTAGCTGAGGTGCACTTGTGTCCAGTGTAGGTAGAGAACTACCTGAAGGCCGCACTCTGTTGGATTGTGTGGCCACTGAGTGGGCAGAAAGGGGGCTCATGCTGAGTTTGTGTTGGCCAGAAACTGTTTGTGAGTCTGTCTCACCTTGGAGGACTAGGTTGTCAGCACAAAGATTTGGAGAAAGGGCTTGTTCATCCTCCAAAGTTTGGGTCCCACCTGACTTTACATTTCTGAGTGAAGCTGACATCAAACTGCCTGCAGAGCTCTGAGTCTGTGTGACCACACTAACATGACTGCTCCTGTGCGTTTGTTGCGATGGACCTATAGGAGAAACAGATTCATCTAAAGACGTGGTGGTGCCACTGTGTTCAGACATCTGAGGTGTTATTCTCTCCGTGCTGAGCATGAGTGGAGACTCTCTCCCATCAGTTTCCTTTTGGGTTTCTGGCTGTTTGTATTTCCCTGCTTTGTTGCTAATTTCCATTGGACCGACACTTTGGGATTTATTCTGGGAACACTCTGGGAATACCTCCTTAATGTCACACATCTGTGACTGGCTTGGGTCAGATGCATGCTCAATTTGGGGCACAATGAGGGCTAACTGCTCATCAGAGATAATCTGGAGGCAAATCTGGAAGTCTGCTGTGTGGACATGAAATATATTCTGAGCCGTCTGGTCCAATGATCCAATAGAACAAGGCACAGCTGGGTCATCAGGGCCAACATTGGCTTTGTTTTGGGGATTAGTAGAGTCTTGTGCTACTGAGAGATGTTCCTGTAACAGTGAAGAACTGAGTTGAGGTCTATGATGTGAAACAGCTGTAGTGTTAGTAGCACATGTGGGATATTTTGCTGTGGTCACAGGTAAACTCACAGCTGCAGGTGTGCAATGCTGGGCTGATTGTAAAGGCACAGACTGCATGACGGTGCACACTCTGCCCCGAGAATCTTGTAGGGAGCTTGTTGTTGTGGTTGTTGTGCACTGTCTGTGCAGAACTGCATGGCTAGATGTCAGACTCTGACTGGGCTGTGATGTTGCAGCATCACAAAGTGTCGTAACAGTGCCAGGAAAGATGAGTTGGTTCTCTGTGGAGCATGAAGCATTCACACTGCTGCTTTTGTAAGTTTGTAAGGTGACAGAGCCTTCACAGGTCTTTGCACAGGTTGTCCCTGAGGGGGAGGTTTGGTCAGAGGTATTAGGTAAGAGGTTAGAGCTGAGCATACACTCCTCAGTTCCTTTGGATTTTCCCACAACGTGTGATGCTGATTCCAGTGTTTCACCACGAGTGTTGGGCAACTTCAGCTGGTACTTAGGCAGAAATGTATTCTTGACAGTGACAGGGATAGACATTGCTGGTGAAGTGCTAACTGGCATGGATGGTAGAAAGAGGGCCCCTTTGGGCTCAGTGTGTTTTGGGGTTTTGTGCAGATTTGTATCGTGCAGTGGTCCACTGCAGGTGACAGTGGTGGGGGGATGAGCCGGTGTGTTTGGATCGGTCTCCATGGAAAAGGCTGTTTTGCCATCAGTTCTCTGTTTTTTCCTGTCAGAGGGAACATGAGCCACACAGAGCTGTGAGGAGGAATCAGAATGTTTTGGAAAGTTCAGAAGTTGTCCAGCCTCCATTTTGTGGCTGAGCAGTGATCTAGTGGCCGGTAATGGCAGGACGGACAATGATAAGTTCCTGCTGGGTGGAGCCTTGATGGAACTGTTGGTTGAAATAAGATGACATTTTTGTAATGTTAACCCCACTGAAGAAACTACAGAGAGACCAGCAAAAGAACTGCATGCTGTTGCTCTGCTGTTTGTAAAGTTTGTTGCCGAGCTTGACGTTGTGACTGCCTCCTGATGAACCACTGGACCTTGATCAACCTCATGCTGACAATTTTTGCCTTTGAAATAAATGTTATTAGAACTTTTCTGGAGATCACAGAGTTTTTTAAACGTTCCACCCCCATACATGTACCACTTATTGTAAGCAAATTTCTCTGCTTTCTTCTTTCTCAACTTTCTGGTATTTGACTCTCCACAGATGTCACCTCCATCTCCATCCCAGCTGAGACTGCCGGTGCACACCTCCTCCACAGATAAATTTGTGAACGGGCCATCTGTTGTGTGGTTGCAGTCTACGGCTGTCTGCCGAACCAGTAGGCGGTGGACCGATGAGTTCTGGTTTACAGGCTTCCTGGATAAATCAGTTGAGCTGATCTGGCTGGAGCTTCCACTCTGGACAGCTGTTACATACTCACTCTGATGAGGGGCGGCAGAGCTACTACTCTCAGGCTGCATCAGGGTAAGGTTAAAGGGAAGGGAATGGCTGCGGATTAAGGGGGCGTGCTCAGCAGTAGAGGGAACAGAACATAATCCAGACCTACTGTGTCTTTTCAAGCCAATATTCCGGGTTGGACTGATCTTCATGTCAAAGTGGAAGGAGTTCTTGTAGGTGTATGGCATGGGAAGGTCTATGCTTCCTTGCTTTGACAGAACAGTTTTCCTCGGTCGTACATTTTCCAGCTGTTTGTCCTCCACAACAGCTGTATTTTCTGAAATTAGCTTAGATATACGCTCCACCAGCAGCTCTTGCTCCTGCTTTCTTGCTGTATTTGAGGGCTCCTGTTCACTGTGAGCTCTTTCAGAAGATGTGCTCATGCTTTGTTCCACATGTTCCTTGCTTGATTCAGTGAGTGAATCCATACTGTGGTCGAGTAAAGCACTGCCTGGACTATCGCTGAAACCAGAGTCTGTACTCCCATGACTCTGTGATTTCCTTTTGGAGACAGAGCAGTCCCACTGCTTGGAGAACAGAGTAGCTTCCTGCCTCTGTAGGGGAAGGTGTCGACCAACGCCTAAAGGTTTATTATCCGTTTGCTGTTTATGTTCTTCTTTTGGTCCATCTTTCTCTGAGCCTTGCATCTGTGCACAGTGGACCTTTGTAGGACTGGATGCAGTTGTGCTCTCGGTGGCAAGTGGTGCAACACAACTTTCCATGCTGCCTGTCTCTTCTCCTTGCTCATCAAGAGATAAACTGGAGGTACAGGTCTCTTTGGAGCTGGACGTACTGTCCTGGCTGCCCAAGCTGCTCTGCTCAGACTCAGAGGAAAGACGGGCATGTGCCTGAGTCCGTCTGTGCTTGTACAAGTTGCTCTGAGTCTTAAAGGACACTCCACACGTGCTGCAGGGGTAAGGCCGCTCCCCAGTGTGGCAGCGGAGATGCTTCTCCAGCACACTGGGCTTCAAACAATCCCGTCCACAGTGCGGACAGATGTGTTTGCCTGCAGATTTGGGCTTTGTGGCAGGAGCTGTAAGACTCAGGCCGGGCAGAGGCTGCAACCCACTGGCAATATGCAGAGTCAGGAAGGGAAGCGTCTCCTTGGAATAGAATGGTGGCATGGCCAGCTGGAGGGGCGCCTTAGCAGCAGCAGGTGGCACAGCGTGGAGATAAACTGCTGTTAGAGGAGGGACCTGGATATTCATTCTTTTCTCTGCCTGCGTTGTGACGGAGCTTTCGTGTACTGGAACACTTGCCAGTCCTGGCTTTCCAGTTTCCATGGTAACACTACTGCTGTCGTGATGTACCAGTGCTGGGTTTATAATTACCTGAAAGATAACAGTTTGTATTAGATTTCTTTGCCTACAAAAAGAAGAGGCAAAAAATAAACACAACACTGCATCACACTAAAGCAATGAAGACAGCTGTCTTCGTTTTACATGAGAATAAATTCAAACACAAATAAAAACACATGCATGTTTTAGTGATGCCATTGTTGTGAACTATTAAAAATTGCCCAGAACATGCAGAGAAGCTGGAGACATCTGCATCTCAAGTGCAGAGGAGACAAGACTGCAACTCTTTGTTCTGTGCAGCCAGTGGAGATGTGAGGAATGCAAACTGAGTCGACAGAAGCAATAAGTTGATGGAGGACAATGATTCACTCAGGGGCTGTGGTGGTGGTGGGGGGGGGGTGTCAAATCAGATGCCAGGACATCAGAAGCTTTCATCCCTCCAAATAAAAAGTGTCTGCTGACATTTGCTGTTATCTCTGCACTAATATCACAGCAAACCCCTAATTGCAGCGTGTGGTGGCTTGGCCTGCAAACACCATGATGATTTGTAGAGTAAAGCCAGCCCTCTTTAAGAAAAGCTTAAGATGCATGTTAGTTGAAGCTTTTTGCTACGTGTGGTGCCTGAAACCACAGAGCCACAGCTTGTATGAAGCACACACGTTGGTTGGCTGTGCAGCATGAGCACGCCCACGCTGCAGACTGGTGTTCTGGGGGAAGTTCGCCTCTCATCACGATGAGCTGAACTGTCAGCAAAACAATGAGCGCTGCACGCATTCATTTTACTTTTACACTGTTCTCTGCGCTTCTACGTCCTTACAACCATGTGACTATATGCTGGATTGTTTAGTTGTTTTCTCTTACAAGCACTTTTAGTCATTGTGAAGGTTTTTACACTGTTGGAATAAGTTTAAAAGAAGTCACATCAGAATAAAACAAGGAGCCAACATCAGGGTCTATAATTGGTAATAAATGTTACAAAAAAAAACCCAACAAGAAACTGTAAAAACATTTTGAAAAATAAAA